TTTGCATTTAAGGTACTGCATGTGTGACTGCACAGGTAGAGTCCAAAGCAAAGTTTACAATTTCAGGAAAGCAGACAATGAAAATCGAGTAAAGACAAATAAAGAATCAGTAGGAAATGGATGGTTGCATTTAAAGACATTCCTCTTTCTAGCACCAATCACATTCACCTCAAAACATAAGTAAACCAAATCTAAAAAGCAGAGACCCGGGAAATGTGATGGTTTTATCCTGGAGTTTCTGCAGTACTCTTAATCTATCCCAGTGACATTTCTGTCCAGCCAGGAAGGCGTCTGGCAGCTCGTACAGTATATTTATATACAATGCTACTTGAAGAAGAGTGTGAAAGTTAAGCACAACTTCCTCAAGTACAGTATAATTAATACTTGGAAAAATCACTTCCCTTGATTTACATTCTACAATCCTAACTACGGTATCTAAGCATTTTGTTGGCCCTTTTATTGCTTCATCATACTGTCTAGTAGAAGTTTGTTGACTCATGGCTTTCTCTCTTTCTCGTGTATTGATTCTTCCAGTTCAATGCCACCCTTGCTGTTCTTGCTGCCTGCATGGAAAACATTTAAGATAGATAGATACTTTATTGATCCTGTGAGGGGAATTGCAGGGACATTTCCCAAGTTAAATTTCTCTTGCTAGGTGTCCACTCAGACATTTGCTGATGTCCTTATGTAATGGTTGCATCACTTGTGAATGTCAACAGACTACCCAAGATTTAGATTGGCAATACAGACTGGACAGGACAGGGTCTTAGAACTGACCCCTGTGGAACACCAGTAATGACCTTGCTGCACTGTAAGGTAACTCCCCTCACCAGGACCATGTTTTCTTCTTTATAACGAACGTGACACTCATGCACATAATGCTTTGGATTCCTACAGCTCTGAGTTCAAGGTCTTTTAAGTCTTTCTGGACAGCATCTCTTCTAAAGCCATCTTGACTATCTCCCACAATGCACTTCTGATTTAGTTATTTTTTTTTTACTTTAGACATAACTGAGGTGCAGCTAGTAGATTTATAAGAAGGAGACTATATTTATGCTAAAAAGAGAAGACTGCTATTTTTAAATGTCTATATAATGACCTACAGTATGTATAACAAATGATTGGAAGCAGACCTATGTATCTTTAGATTTCTTAAATAAGCAGAAATGTGAATTGGGCAAAAAGTTAATAGAAATTTTAAAGTGGTAGATGTAATTTAAAAGAGAAATCCCACATCATATATAATTTCTCCATAAACCCTTTTAGCTTTTCTAGGTTCAGAAAATGCATTATATCTCTTATCCAATGGGTTAGAGAAGGAGGGGCAGCCTTCTGACAATTTAGTAGGACGAAACATCTGATCAGAAAGGCTGCAATACTAATACCTCAGCCTGTGTTCTTGACAGCTGGACATCCCCTGGAACTCACCGAACACCACATCCACAGGTGGCTTCGCAGGGCACAGACGGAATACTGGAAAGGGCTTTGAAGACAGAGGACTGGGATGGCTACGATCTGGACATTGGTCAGGGTCTGGCCTGCTTGCGACCAGTCACAGACTGTATCTATGTCTGGACAAATCACAGCCAGGTGTGTGTAATGCTCCACCCTAAACTCAATTAAACCATATCTGCCACTAATGGAAGAAGAATGTACTGTATGTGAGACTCTACATATCTCCAGTCTTCTCCTGTTCCCATGAGGCAAGTGGGGGAGGCCCATGAGAGGATTGTGGCATGAAGTTGGAAAAATCACACCCTTATCGCTAGGATTAAGGTCAAGTAGAGAATCAATGTGGGATTATCATACAGATATCAGAGGAAACTGAGACCCTTCATTGTGAGCAAAGAAACAAACCCCTAAAAACAGACATTTGTTTTTCGAACTGTTTGTGATAGTTGAGAAAATGAGGCAAGATTTTTTTAAAAACATGCCAACAAGAGATTTAATACCACTACATATATATAAGAAAGTGTGTTGCTGGACTTTTATCTTATAAAAAAGACAAATTGAACACTTTCTGTGGTACAAGCTAATTTTTTACAAGTGAATTGTGTCAGCTATTGCTGTTTATCTTCCATCATAGTGATGAATCATATTAAGCAGATTAAAAGGGCATTTATTCCTTGAATCTATTAATATTATTCATACTGTTTAAATAGTAACCAAACCCCAATTTCTCTTGAGTTGCTCAGAATGTGCAGCAAGAGAAACTTTGCTGAACAATGAAGCTCTCACACCACAAAGCTCTCTGTAATCAGCACTGCACACTATTTTCTTAAAGCATTAGGCTTTGGCAACATTCCTTAGCTCTCTGCCCTCATTTTTCTTCACTAATTTCCCACAGATCACACCAATATTGTCTTAACTGCAATGTAACTCATACTGTGCTGCTGACAACACGATGCAGGAAAAAGCAACACTTCACAGGCTGGGCTGTAGCAGAGAGACTGACCCTCCCTGAGAGGTCACTAATGCCATTTAGAGAGAAAGGGAAAGGACAAGGTCAGGAGGTCAAAAACTGAACCATGTGGTTGCAGAGGAATCACCCTTGTATTAAAAGGTAAGTTACATAGTGATGAATAAGAGCGAAACTGGAAGTTGAAATTTATGATCACCTTCAGTGGAAAAGCAGATCTTATCTGTAATATACCTTGCAATTATACCATTCCATTAAAACAAAATGATGGGAAAACCATCAGAGGACTTAACCAAGGCAAATAACCCCAAGATGCTGTGTGAACTACTGTATACAGTACTTCAATTCATGAGTTCTCTTAGATCTCCCCTCCCTCTTGCTCTCAAGTACAGGTTTTTTAGAACACACCTGACAAGCAGTAGAGTTGCATTTCATACACAGAAAGCTGAAGACCACTACTGTATCTGCATTTTTTTCCAGATTTATGAAGCAAAACAGAATTTTTCCCCAATGCTGAAGACTATTAGTTTGGATAAGGTAAATTAGGTCCAGACAAGAAAAACACTCAAATTTTAATGAAACACAATTCTCTGCACCGATCTCTGAAGGAGCATCTGTGGAGAAATCAGGTTTGGTGCTTAGTTTAAATCTACAATATCTTAATACAACCCCCATCCAAGAATATCTGGGACAAGAAAGCTAATACTCCTGTTTTTGTTCTTCACATGTTGAACATACCAGAGCGTCTATCCAGCCTGGGCTGGTAGAAGTGTCATTGTTATCACTGAATTGGTTTCCAATGCAATTACCAGGACAATCTGCGATTCAGAAAACAAGATAAAGTAATGGCTTAAGGATTTACAGGATACTTTTCTGAGAAATGAATGACGGCGAACGAAGCCTTTTTCCAGCATGCAGTCCCGGGGCTACAGTTTTCAAAAGGTTATGTCACTGTAGTCCTTACACAACACATCTGAGCTCTCCTGGCATGAGCGCTGCGCTGGCTGAAGCGCCTGTGAACGGATTCCCAGCCTTTGCGCTGCCTCGCAACATCTATCACTGACGTTTTAAGCGCCGGCACGTTTGTAAAACACAAGAAAACGATGCGAGAGTCACCTTTGATTCGAATCACAAAAGGATTCGAAAAATATATATCCACCAGAAACACAGCTCTGCCGAAGACAGAGACTAATTTATTTGTGAACAATTATTTTTTTTATTTTATTTGTGAACAAATAAAATAATGGGCGAAGGTTAAACGCACCTCTCCTTGTAACTGTTTTTTTTTTCAGATTGCTGTCTTTTCCGCGATATGATGGTTTGTACCACTTACAGCGTCTGAAATACGGACACTTTTCTGCGGCGATATCTCTTGACAGATCGCGCTACTTGATCCACGGAAAACAAAAGACATTTAAGACGTTACTCCCACATCTTAAGTCCATCTTAATCTTTGCAAGTAGTCACAGGGTGTGTGAACCATGCAAGCATATCTCAGAATGAGTCTGTCGGTGCTCTATTTTAAAAATTCAGTGACACTTCCATTGCATTTCTATGGACTCGCTCGACAGCCGTCCTTGCAAGTTTCGTGGCTCCATGAGGGCTTGAACTCAGCGAAACCCTAAGCAAGCGGGGAAGGCGCTTCAGCTATGGTTCGTGGGAATAAGGCAGGTTTCAAGTGCAGGAAGTAGCACTTTGAAACTACCAGTATTGGAGTACAAGCCTAAAATTCATTACTGTTATCAAGGAAAGACCCCGGACAGCCGACAGTCGCTATCGGTCTCCTTTCATTCGCACTCAGGATGAACACGAGCAGGGCGCAGGGCTGTGATCGCAAGACACGCTCTGCTAAGGTTATGATGTTATACGATTTAAAGGTGACTAACAACAGAAGAAAAATGATACTTCAGGACGGCCGAGAGTAGAGTTAATGACATTCACTATAAATGATTTTGGTTTAGTTCAGCCCAGGACAGTGGAGCAAACCGCACAAGTGTCCACAGCTCGAGTGAAAACGCTGGAGTAAAGACAAAGCATGCTGTGAAATCGGTGCTTCCCCGCAGTTTGGAGATCGTACTGTATACTGTTGTCATTCATTATGGTCACAGTGGTATCCGGGAGTCCCCGTTTTTAATGTACACGTAAATTAACCAGACCAATTAAACATATACCGTACTGTGTTAATACCACCACTACCTTCAATACATAACAGAAAGAGAACTCAGTACACCAAACTTTTTCAATATACTGTATCTATTAAAAAAGACATCACATTAAAAAGTCGTCCAATTGGACAGTATAGATACAGTTCCTTAGATTATGGATACAGCTGCTTTTCGAGGAAAAGCTCAAAGCGTAGGTTCCATTTACTGAAAACAAAGCAGATTCAAACCTATAAAGCGCTACCACGGCGCAGTAAAAACAGTTTTTAATTTACCAAGTGAAACCACAAGCCACATTTACAGTTTGCACGGTTGGTACATACGCCCAGGAACGGTACTAAAACACTAGTACTGCTTTCTAGCACAAACAAGAAACAGGTTCAAAGCGGAGTTTCTGCCGCAAAGCCGCATCACTTCACCTCGTGAGTCTGCGGAGGTGCGCGCTGGGAGCCGGTCCTCCAGGCGCGGCGCAGGAGCGGGGAGCCGCGGGGATCAGCACACCTTCAACAGGCGCCTTGAAATCCGAAGCGCAGCGCTGAGTCGCAACAGGGACCCCAAACATTTAAGACCACATCCCGCAAAACCTAGCACCATAGTCTTAAATATAACCTTGAAATACAAGGTCCCCCCCCTCCCCAGTCCGCGGTAAGCGTGTCACCGCTGCGCTCCTATTCTATTCCTTGCAGCTCCTGTCCACTTTCCGCGTTTCAGCGCCCCGGTCTCTGGTAAACTGGAGCCGTAGCTTCGTGCGCCCCCTGCTGCCGCTTCTATTTCTGTATTTCGGGAGTGTGAAGCCTTTCACTGTTACTGCTTCTCCTGCTTACACCTGTGAATTAAAGATGCTACAGTACGTAGGTGTACATACTTATATCCCCTCATTAGGGGTACATTTGCATCCGTATCTCACAGTAGAAGGTTGTCTTAATTTTGATCCGGCAGTTTGTGACTTGAATATTGTACTGCTGTACCTCACTGTTTTAACAACTTCCCAGTTACACTTCTAATCAGGATGCAACGTATCCCCCCTTCTTGCTCAAAAAGGCAATGGGTGGGGAGTAAATCCTACTCTTGCGGAGCTGGGACTCAGCCAGGTCAAAGGCTGAGGACGCACCCGATCCTGTCAACGTTAACGCGCGGCGGGTGATAAGGATGTACAGTATCACCGGCGCAAACTGCGCCCCCGTCATCTCTGTTGCGAGAATGACCGTCACAGGAAACAGCGCTGCACGTGGATATTTTGTTTAAAATGTCAAATTTAACAAATACAAATTTTACGTGTGCGTTTGTTTTATATTACAAAAAAAAACAAAACCTTTTCGGTTCTCTGCTTTGTTATAATCGCAAATGTGCCACTTTGTAAAGGAGCCTAATTCTCATGTTTCAATTAATTTCAAACAATAACACGAATTAGCAACGAACTGCCCGATGTGCATCTACGGCCGCGGTTTTACAGTATGTACAGTGCCCTGTACTACACATCTAGTAGTTTCGTGCCCAAGGCATTAGAGCGCAGGGGCACTGGAGCTGGGGGGGTTTGCAGGGCTCACTCCTGATCCCAGGGGGCCACAGCAGGGTTTCATTGCATCTGCGCTCTTCCCTAAAATGAATCCTTAATTGGACCATCAAGTTGCTTGGCTGGAACCTTTGCAAATAGTTTTTTTTTTCTACTTACATGTTGGAGAGCTTAAGTGATATATGAAACACAATAGTTAAAAGGCAACCCGCTACATGTTTAGGAACTGAAAACTTAAAGAGCTCAGTCTCAACCTCTGATTTGCTTGGTTAAGAGTTCAGCTGTTTAATTGAGTGCTCAGGTGGAGGAGACACTAGCAGGCAAGTGAGATCGGGACCCCTGGGGATGGAGGGAGCTTCTTTAGAGTCATGCCTGTGCCCATTTCTCCCCTGAAAAGAGCAGGGGCATCATCTTTCCCACTGCAGTAGTGCACATGTGCACATTTAAAGTGATGTTTGCAAGCCATGCTAATGCAATGAGACAACTTTTGTCGGTCTTAGTATCTTTATGTGAATGTACGTGACAATTTAAATGAGCTAATATGACTATTATTTTATTAATCTGAATTTATTTGGTTGCGTAATACAATTGCATTATATACAGTACAGCAAACTCCCAAAACTTGTAACAGAAATGTGTAACAGAAAGAAGTTAAATACAGTAGTGCCACACTGCATTATGTACAGTATAGAGGTTTAAAAACCCAAAAGATGCAGAAAAATCCAGAGCAGTATAAGAACTGAATCTTTTAAGCCTGGGGAAGAGAAGGTTAAGGTGGAACTCCAACCTGTTTAATGAGTAAATACTGTAAATAAATATTAAGCATGCTGTCTTGCATTACTGTTTATTCATTAATGTGTTATTGAACGTTATATTGAATGTGCCTGCATGTTTTGTGTAGCCCATAGTTAAATCATGTCCAGTTATCACAGAGATATTAAATAGCACAATCCACGAATATCAAATTATAAGGCAATTAACTACAATTAATTGAAGAGACGGGATGCTGGTTTAGTGAGAGAGGGGGGCAAGTAGCCCAGGGAGGAAGAGAAGGAACGAGGAAGAGATCTACAAAAAGATTTAGAGGAAGGCATAGTGGTTTGCAGCTGAAGTACAGTAGGTGTCACGAAGTAAACCTCTCCTCTTAAGGACGCTCCAGCCCTTCCTTGTTTATTCCTTATCTCTCGCACCTGCCTCGGGTTCCTGTCCTGCATGCTATAAAAGCCAGACGTTCCTGCCAATCCGGGCTCAGCTTTGGAAGATGGACGCCCGGAAGCCTGCTTACCCGCGAGTCCAGGAGTGCCTCAACGGCATCGACTCACAACGGCGTCCTGACCATCTGGGTCTGGGGCTTGGAGCACCTGGCCCCATATCCCCCTTTTATTTCCCCCGACCTTTCGCCGGATCCAGATCCGGCTTAACTTCGTTCGTCTGTGTCGGGATGGATCACCCGGCTTTGGACATTGGCTTTCCCAGGATATTCTAACGGACTCCCTTGGACTAGTTTGCCCTGGACACCTCCCCCCCCGAGCACCAGTGCACCTTGGACATGCCCCCTGTTATTCTTCCAGCCCCTTTCCTAGTCTTTTTCCCCGTGTTTTCTCACTCCCTTCCGCATTGTGCTGTCTGCATAGGGTCCTGAAAGACGCTTTGTGACAGTAGGTTGAAGTAGTTCAGCTGGGTAGCTGTGTCAGCATGCGTAGGGTGCAAAGGAACAAGTAATAGGTTTATTCCATGCAGAAAAGAGAATAAAACACAACATTTCGGCTGTGGATCCTTCTGGTAAGATATACTGTAGTCACAGTTGCCATTAGTTTCCATGTAATGGTTTTATAGGCATGTGTGCTCTCTAAACCCATAAGCAATGGCTAAAATGTTGTGGCTAAACCTTCCACTATGACATGAGCAAAGAGTTGAAAGTTTGACTGCGCCGTCTGCTGATATATACTATCTTGTGTCTGCTTGTGATGAATTGCGCTTTTCATTTCAAAATAAATGTTACTCCAAGGTTATTCACGAGTGTACTCATTTGTACCTTTCAGCAGGCATCAGAAAGATGAAGCAACTGTTCTGGTTAAGATGATTGGCTTTGAGTGGGGAGCACAGTTAGTCAATGGAACGGTGCCAGATTACAGTGGGAAACTCAAAGCCTTGGATAATCTAGAGATGCGTGTTTGTAGGATGATCATATACTGTAGTTCAAGAAGAGCCAAAGACATTTACTGTATGTGTGTCCTAGATGGTGATGTGTTTGTCCTCACTGGGGGGCAATCTGGGTCAGAGGTCCCATAAGAGCTCCAATCAGGTTTCTTCAGAAATGACTTCTGCTTGTCATTACATGCAGGAAACAAGACATTAGCAAATACTAAATGAGTGGCGTTGACCTAGAAAAAGCAGCACAGGAGAGGGTTCTAGGAAGCTGTTGATTCAGCACTTCCTTCAGTTAGTGTGGGAGAGCAGTAAGAAGGATAATACATGTTTTGGAAATATCATTAAAAGTGTAGAATAGCTTACGAGAAGTCATGTTCAAATCGTTATGCTTTAGCTAGCCCACGGTTTGGATCCTGTGTCAAGTTTTGTCATCGAATTACAAAAATACGTTGCTGTTCTGGAGGCAGTATAAAGGAGAGCAGCCAGACTAATTCTTGGTCTTAAGGGAACTTAATCTTTTGAGCCTAGATCAGAGAAAACTACATAAGAACCTGATTTGGGTAGGCATTCAAAATCCTGAACAACACTGAGCAAGTCAGCTCTAGGTCTTTTTCAGGATCAGCAATGCAAGGACCCGGGAACACAGAAGCAAATTAAATCTATTAGCATGAAGACAAGACAGGGTGCAACTTTACCACCTTGTATCTACTGTACATGTTGTCAGATACCAGAGTCTAAACAGGGCTGGGCCTGTACTGGGAGACTAGGAAACCTCCAAAGAAACTCCACTTGTGGCTATAAGTGGTGTTGATGGAGCAGTCACTTCCAAGCCATTGTTGCTGTACGGCAACCAGGAACACTGCACTTTATGAGGTGCCTGTTTCAAATGGCGTGTCACACTGTTACATCTTGACTACTTGTTCTTGTTAATAAAGCTCCCAGGGCACTTTCTGAGAAGTGCCGTGGTGCTAACCCTGATGTCCCAGCTCTGTTCTAATTGAGCTTGTTCAACCAGGCCTCCCTAAAATTCCCCATCTATTCAACTGGTGAAGCAGCTGCTGGCTATATTGATCAATAACAACAAATATGTTCACCTAGTCAAAGAGAAGAAGTGTACAGTATATCTGTATAAGACACAACCCGAAAGACAGTACCTCAACAGTACAGGTGGAAAGAGGCTCAAGGCATCACATCTCTACTGTACCTTGGACAGTCCTCAGACATGAACACCACTGAACATGTGTGAACATTACAGAGCACACATGAGCTGGTAAACTGATGTCCATGTGCAGTGCCAAGAACAAAAGGCATATGACCAACAAAGCCTCTAGCATTCCAGGTACAAGATCATGTTCAACAGCAAAATGCAGACCTCACTTGTATTTTGCCAATGTGATGTATGGTATCAGTTAGAACTGCTTTTTCATACTTGGTTAATTTTTTATGCAAAGTCACGGTTATGTTTGCAACCATGTGTGCTTGTAATTTTGAGTGAAAAGCATCATTTATGATGGGCTTTCTCCTGTTAGTTGGACTGATTCTTTCTTGGGCTTCTTCCAAACGTCAGTGTCACAGCTGGATCCATGGCCACCAATTTTCCAATGTAAGATAAGATCAGATCACTTTATTGGCCCTATACAATTTCTTGTATTAGGAATTTGTCTTTTCGCAGACCCCAGCTTGCCCTCCATGAGACACACAGACAGGGAGAGAAGCTGGGGGTCAGAGCACAGGGTCAGCCGTTTATACAGCACCCCTGGAGCAGTTGGGGTTAAGGGCCTTGCTCAGGGGCCCAAGGGCCCAACAGAGTAGGAATCAAACCGGCAACCTTATAGCCATAGGTGCAGATCCTTAGCTACAGAGCCGCTGTAATAGGACACATTTTGTAGCCTCACTCTGAGGTTACAAGTTGTGTGTGAAATACTTTATGGAACCACTGAAGGAAATACAATAGATGCAAATAGATTTGTTTTGGTTCGCTTGATCAATGTAACATCTGCAATGGTAAAAACCTGGTAAATTACTTAAACTCTTAAAACTTAAATATCAAAAATATCAAAACAGTAATTATTTAAAAGGATAGTAAATACAGTACTTTCAGATTGTTTTGGCATATCACTTGTCATGTGTTGAATTAAGATTTTAAATGTTTAATATAAATGTATCACGTTGTTAAGGAATAGTGGACAGGTAATTAGTAGGATTAAGTTACAATAAAAAGAGTTCCAAAAAAGAGTTTTGGGTTCCAAAAACGTTTTTCTCCTCTGACCTCTCTACAGTGCCATTCCTTTCCTGTAGCTTTGTAAATCTGTCCCAGAAAGCCCACATCCCTGGCTGAGCTGTGCAGTGTCCTGCCATCAGAGACAGAACTACAGTTTACTTGTTCACTTCACACCCACTCTGTTTGCATTGCAGGGACACAGCGTTGGTTAAAACTAT